GGTAATTGCATTTCATCGGATAAATTTCATCGGATATATCCATAATTTAATCGGAAAACGTAATCGGAAAAATTAACCATCGGACATACTATTTAATTGGTTTATCCGATGAAAATTTTTCTCAGTGTACCTTATACTGGCGTCAAATACACGGTCTCTACTTACAGTAGAATAAAAAGTGTGATAATAAGTTAAATACTGTTTACAGCGTACCTTATACAGGGGAATATAGAGAAGATTGTGCATTTATCAACCCCGAAACCTCAGCCATCAAATAATCCGGCGGAATCTCTAGCCGGAAGCCTATATAGAGATTCCGCCGGATTATTTGATGGCTGAGGTTCGGGGTTGATAAATGCACAATCTTCTCTATATTCCCCTGTATAAGGTACGCTGTAAACAGTATTTTAACTTATTATCACACTTTTTATTCTACTGTAAGTAGAGACCGTGTATTTGACGCCAGTTGCGGCGTCCCAATGTACTGCTGAAGAGTAATTATATTTACATGCAGATACATTTTATTGATTCCCCTTAGGGTTACAAGGCGTTTTTAAAGGAACGTGCCCAAACCTCTTATAACACCTCTCTCTATATTCACTTCTCTATGGCGATCGAACCACTGTCAATGGATCGAACGAAAAACCAACAATGTTTTGCTTGGTTTTGAACCCGGGTCTCCGGATTACTAGACCAGCGCACAATCCTCTGCGCTACGATCGCCACAGTTAAACATTGATTCTAACACCTTCTTCTGTCAAAGTGATTTATAATTCGAGATACGTCAGCATTAGATTCCTGTTAAGATATTTAAAAAATTCTCTCTGTAGATCTAATTAACTATAATTAGATATATATTTAACATAAATATTGATAGTATTTACTGGTCGACAGATTTATAACAATTACAGCTTTGACGTAATAACTGAATAATACGCTTGCTTGTATTATTTAAAATATTAATTAGTTCTGTCATTTTCAACATTCTTAAATCGTGCTGTATACATATATGCGCAGGTCGGAAGATAATAAGTTCAATACTGTTTACAGCATACCTCATACTATGGACCAACATACAGTAGAATTACGTGACAATTAGCATTCTCTTAATGGGCAGAACTATTTCTTAAACCCATCAAGAACTCTGGAACTATTGTAAATCTATAGGGAACTCGTAAAAAAAGTTAAATTTTTAAATAATGGGGAGCTAACTTCACAGCTGGGTGTTAAGCGGTAATTATTATATTTAATTTATAAAGTAATTATTACTTTTTCAGAATAATATAGGTATCTATATTTTTATATATAATTACATAATTTATTTTTATTCATTTATTATTTATTATTTGTTTTATTATTTTATTATATTTTTTATACAAGATGAACAATGGCGCGCGCGAAGCGCGCGCTTTGCGTTGTTCTAGTAATATCAAATGATGCATTGCCCAATACGTGATACGAAATAAGCACGTGGCGATTATCAGCGATCGCGGGCGACGCGGCCGGCCGGTGACGCCATCTCTCGCTCTCGTCCTGGTACTGCGACTACCGCCTCAGCCGCATAATCGCGTCCGATTATAGGCCACCCTGTATATCCGTCGCCGCCATCTCCGCGACCTCGGCGACGACGAGCGGAGTACCTCGAGGAGCGGTGTGTTTACTTCCGCCGTCTCTCGCTTCCCGTTGCCACGACTCGGAAGTCATCACGCGAGAGATGGCCTACAACTTCCCCGGGGTGCCGGCAACCGCTATGCCGCCCATGGGTGAGCAATGATCAACCTCACACACACACACACTCTCTCTCTCTCTCTAATCTTCACTCCATTCGCCCTCGGAATCGATCCCCTGCGTCCGTCCCCAGTCAGAAATGACTCGTCGATCGGCGTCGAAACGACATTGTACGTCGACAAGTGATTTTTGACCGGGTCGCCCCGTCGACGCCGTCCCTCTCGCTAATGGTATGCAATTCGCAGGCATGGGACCAATAGGTCCGCTGGGCCCTATCGCGGGACCACAGAGCTTTATGGAATTAGCGGGTCAAGGTTTCCCACCGATGCCACCGCCGCCCATACCACTGCCCGGCATGAACGACTCGCCCCTGGAGTTCAGTACGAATAAGAATCAGCCCCCGGTGGTGCGGGAGACGTCGGACGACAGCAGTGACAGGAGGAGCGATAAGAATGACAACCGGAGGGATCGGGAGAGCAGGGACGGTCGCGAGGCGCGAGACAACAACAGAAGGTGGAGACGCACATCTCCGTTTGCCCTAAAGTGTACCCTACAACGTGTTCCGTGCATCTAGAAACATTCTATTTTGTAGTCGATGAATACGTTTGAGAGATTCGCAAGTTCAATTGTATGCTGTACATTATCGTACGTCGTCAACCAAGTTTTCAGGCGTTTCGATTTGTTTGTAGAATGCTTCTTGGCGCAGAGGGCACATTCTAGATTAGGCTTCAGTCAGGAGAGATGGGAAACATTTCATTACATGTGATATCTTATAAACTGCATCTCACGAGA